TCATCATATACATTAGATCTTTTTTCTATTATCTTAATGAGTGCATGAGCTTAACCTTACTCAATTCCTTTTACTTATCATTCATTAATTTACGGTCAATTATCTTTAGCTAGGATTTACTTCTTATCCATTCATTAAATTGATTTAACTAAAAAGAGGCTTAACACTTTTTGGTGAAACATAAACTACATTCTAAGTACATTTTTTCCCTTAATAGGATTGCTAATGATACACTTAATTTAGTTTTTCTTTGTTCAAACGTGCAGCTGTTGCCTAATGTTGTGACGCCAAGATTCTTTTTGTCTTTTGAGGAACTGGTCAACTTGATGATTTATTAGTAGTTGTAACGCACAACTTCACAAAACCCAATTCCTCATCCCATTTGACTTTATATTTGCTTTTGTTTGAAATTCCTATGTAAACACACACCTGCTTTGTCTTTTGACTTCAACACCACAAAATTACACCTTTTTTAAAAGCATAATATTATTCTTGGAAGTCTCAATCACCAACTCTAATTGCAAGGATCAATGCTTAAAGCAAAGTTTTTATCCCCACATTTACTTTTTGGGGATTTTTACCCAATAACCAGCTCACTAAGAAGAAGAATTTCGCCTTTTGTTCTCAACGAATTTCACTTTTTATGCTTCTTTTTTTCACTTTTACTTATGTTCCCTCAATAATTTAGTGAGAATATGCACCTTTTTCTTTTCTAATTTGAGTAGGAGCTGCATTCATGATATTTCATGATCCTTATTTAGTATGGTCCAAGTTCAAACCTTTTGGGATTTAATCAAACCTGAAACTGGAAGATATTTTATTTTATTAACATATCAACATGCAACACAAGTGCCTATCAAACCATAACAACGAACTTGTAATCTCAAGGCGGGATCTGAAGAGGATATTATGTACACAAACCGTACCACTATCTTATAAAGTTAGGGAAGAACCTTATAAAAAGAGAAAGACCGTTTAAACAAGTGCCAAAAAAAAAGAACATTCTCTTCCGCTTTCTAACCCTTTCATTTCCAATGCACTTAAAAGGAAGATTTCAAGGTTAAAACTCTAAGAAAGAAATCTCTTTAAATGAATCGAATTAATCACAGGTAGCACGCTCAAAACCTCGAGTATAGAGACATTTGATAAGAAAATTTTTCTTAATGCGAATTCAAATTAATGAAGTTCAAACCAAATATCTAACACCGATTGGAAAAAAAAATATGTAAAGAAAGAAGTCCCACACTACCCCTCCAACCAACAAAATTACCAGCCTTCGCGTAGCAAACAAGCAAAAGCATCATCATTCACGTTCCACACCGCAGCATGCAACTAACGATAGGAAAGTGATGTAAAAAGAATCACCAAACGCAATGACGCAAACAGAAACAATAATAATAATAATTCATAGCCGTAAACGATATTTATATTTCATATCTATATCTATATTTTATATTATTATAAAAGCATCAATAAAATATTGGATTACAAAAATAACCTTTTAATATTAAGTATAATAACTCACAATAAAAGGACATAATCGGAATTCTAGACATTAGCCTTGTAATCCTATTAATTTTAGGACAAAATACTAGACGTTAGAATCCTATTCCTACATGATTACCTTTAGAAATTAGATTTTATTCTTTTTATTTTTTAAAACGATATTTTTCCAATGTTGGTTACTACTGAAATTCATATATAAAGAATGAAATTTACACTACGCAATGTGAACACACTTCGTTTATGAAAAGTCCAAGAGTCTCCTTTACAGGACTTTTCATAAATGTCCAAAATTCACCTTCATATATTTAAATATTATTAAATAATTAAATAAGGTACATTTCAATTATTTAGAAGGTTCTTTCGTTAATTTAACTTTTAACTTTTGGGGTTCTCATTTTTATAATGGCTCATGATGGTTTAAATATTTATTTATTTGAAATAAAATAATCATCTAAAGCATAATAACTCACAATAAAAGGACATAATCGGAATCCTACACATTAGCCTTGTAATCCTATTAGTTTTAGGACATAATATATACTACACGTTAAGAATCCTACATGATTACCTTTAGAAATCCCATTAGTATAATTATGTTCGGGCATAGATATAAAATACTACATATTAGCATGTAAATCTAATACCTTTAGGAATATGTTAGATTTTTTATTAATAAAATTATTTTTGGGATATAGACATATTTTTAGCCACGTAATCCTATTACTTTTATGATATACTTCTTTAAAAAATTATACTACTAATTTAATTTGAAAACGTATTATATTGTCCAAATTTATTTAGAAATGGGAGAGCCTATATTATTATAAAAGCACGAATATAATATTGATAGACCGAAACTGCGCTAAAATATTAAACAGAAGAATTCATAGGGAAAGGACATAGTTGTAATAACTTATTTTTTTGGGTTATAATAACTTCTATGTTAATATTTTTAATATTTAAGATTTTAAGATTAATACAATCTTGTCTATTGAATTCTTATTAAAAATATGTATGAAGGTTTAATAAGATCAATTTCATAAGAATCCTTCATATTAGTAATACATTACCAGTCTATAAAATTAAATACAAAAAAAAATTAGAATAAATGCTAAACAGACTGTATAAAGTGTTAAAATTGAGAGAAAAATTCCTACGGTAATATATCATTATATTATATTTGTACTGCTTTCCTATCAAATAATATTTTTTATTATTACTTTTTTTTTGTAATATAGAAAAATATACACAATTATTAAAGAACAACTAAGAATCTTTTTAGAAAATAAATGTGTGAGAGAAGAAAGAAAAAGGTTCGTAAGAGACAATACCACTAATGATTTTGAAACATAAAGATCAAAAAGTGGAATGTCAGATCGATCTTTTTATTCTTAATAAAATTTATGGTGGATAAAATTATAATTACGGTTAAATATTCAAACATCAGATGAAATAATATTAAGAATCTAAATCAATAGAAAATAAATTATATATAATGTTAATACCAATTATTCAAATCTTTCAATTAATTATTTGGCAAGAGAATCCAATTAAATTATTTTTCAAATTCATCATATGAGTAAAATTATTTTCAAGTTAAAAAAAAAATACTTAGGGCACATAAATTTATTCCATAAAAAGAGTATTAGAGATTAGAAAAACAGATCACAAAGTAAAAAAGATTAGTATAATATTAAGAATGCCATACAAGCGTTTGAGTAAGCACAATCAAAGCTAAATCCTGAACAAGAATAAGCTTTCAAGACTATATTATAAAAAGTCGACTCTGGTATAGCGAGATTATCCTTTATAGATGCCTCTGACGAAATCGAAATAATATTCTTAGGTCATACATTACTCGCATATATCAGATCAAGAGGCATGATATTGCTAGAAATAAGAACAAGTGGTGTACCAACAACGATTTTATTATGAGGTCGTACAACTCACTTTAGATTTGATATACCTCTTCAAATTTCTGAAATAACCATCACAAACATATCAAAGCAGAACAATAGTGCTAAATTTATAAGTAAAGCAAAAGTGATAGTATTTGATGAAGCGTATTTGGCTAAGCGTCAAACGATCGAAACAATGCCCAAAGTTTTGGAGATATATTGAATATCGATGAACCGTTTGGTAGAAAAGTAATAGTTTGGGAGGTAATTTCTGTCAAGTACGATCAGTAGTTTCAAAATTGACCAAAGCAAAAATTGTAAAATCTAGCTTGCCGGAATTATGCTTATGACCTCAAACGAAAAATATTCAAATGACAAGAAATATAAAAGTAAGAACAGATCCAACATTCAGTGACTTCTTGCTTCGTATCGGAAACGAAGAAGGGCATCCAATAAAAGATGATTTGGTTCTTCTAGAACACTTGGTTATCAACCCCAATGGTAATAGTAGTGCATTTAATAAGGGAAATATTTTCATCACTAGATTAAAACGCAATTTATGAGGATTACATAATAGAAATTAAAGAGCTATCTTAGCTAGCAGAAATGAATTTATTGATCAACTAAATAAAATATTGATTGCTAAGTTTTATACTAAAAATAAAATATTTTTTGGTTTTGGCTCATCAAAAGATATACCAACAATTACTACCAAGAAAAATACTTAAATACTTCAATACAAAATGACCTTCTACCGTACATTTTTATTGTCACGTTCATTATTTCTTACGTATATTAATGTGACCATATATATAATAGACTAAGTTGAAATTGATCTTTTATTACATATAGGTTGATTTTAAAAATAAAAAAAATATGCCCCTCATGCCTGAAAACTTAGATTCCTTGAATAGCTTATGTACATACGGTATATAGAAGTTTTGACGATAACGTCATATATGTAGAACTTATGACACCGGTCAATTGCTTCTAAGTATGTGTTTATCCCTGAAGTCAACTTTCGTCTTCCGAAACTAAAGAATATCTTTCTTAATTTGAGTGAAAATAATTTTAAGTATGTTTGTGTTTTATAGTTATAATAAATGAACCACAAGGACAAACATCCTAAATATTGAGCTATATTTACTATAATATATTTTCTTATGTGAACAACTATATGTTAAACTTTCAAAAGAGATATCAATGTCGACAACAAGAGTTTTGATTATGGCAGAATAACCAAAGTATTATAAGAAACATATACAAAAAACACTATCTATAAAAAAGTGTTCGATAAAATACCATTACATTCGATACCTTTAAACTACAATACATAATTATCTACTTAACATGACTAAAATTGATCATTTATGTAAGTTTTAATGATGTCCCTTCATTTTGAATTCACGAATTATGCTAATGTACTAATATTTTTCAGTATTTAGATAATTGTTATATATATAAAAATTTACTCATTAATTAAATTTTATTATTCCTTCATCTAAATAAATATTTAAACCATTATGTGCCATTATTAACGTGCAACGGACGTTTATAGATACTAGTATTTACAAAAGTGAATTGACTACACCGATGACTCCACTCAACAACTAAAAGGGTTTTTTCTTTTTTTTTAAACAAAATTTTTTTCATCATCAAAGCCGCCCATATTGACATTTCACAAACGACCCCAAAATGGATACAAATCCTAATAAAAATTTCCTCCTCCATGTCTAATTTCATACTTTACACCCATTGCAAGAGGGCTTTTTCCCTCATGACTCACCCACCTCACTAAAATACTCCTAATTTTTTCTCATAATTATTTACTTAGGTTAATAAAAACATAAACTCTCATTTACTTGCAGACAACAAGACAACACTACATACAGACCCTTTTAAACATATTTACACTAGGCAAAAGGGATCTTTTTCTCCTGCTGCTGCTAAACCAAAAGTGGATTATACTCTCCTTCGTGTAAAACTTCAAATTACCTCTATATTTACTTTTCTCAAAGGGTTCGTTCAAGCCAGGGCAGGGATGCTGCAGTTGCGACGATCCATGTCGAGGCAATCGAAACCCTCAACTCTAACAGCCGGATTGTTGCCAAAATTCGCCCTCACGCATCCGCCATGTTTCCTGGCGGACGCAGATGGGGACGAAGCAGCCAGTCCGGAAGGTATGGGAATAGCCCGTGGTGAAACTGGGGTCATGACCTTTTCATCCCCAAATCGTGCATCTTGAATTAATGGGTTAGATACTCTGCCCGGCGGTGACCCACAAAAAAATGGGGGCGACGAGGCTACTTGTGCAGATGATTGATCCGCACCACCACCCTGTAACAATTTTCATAACAAATAATCAGCACATATGCATCATATGACTAGATATAGAAGTTAGTCAAATTAATAAGACACGTCAATTTATTCTAAGCCACTCAATTATAGAATAGGATGAACAACTTCACAACCCAACACCTAACACAGACAACTACATGGTGCCCACACCCTTGACAAAAGCCCTTCTCAATATGTCCACAAAGTTTCTCATTCGTATTACCAGAAAACCTTATTTTGATTCTTCACTTTTGTCAAATAGATGAACTCCACAGGAACAACAAAGATGTACAGTATAATAAGCCATGGGTTAAAACCAAATCAAATAACTTTTGCTCAGACTCTATATATAAGAAATCTCCTAAATATGTAAGAAATATTAAATTTCGACCCAATAACTCAAATGATAAGTGAGTTGAGTTACACCCGGAATCTATAAAGTTCAAATCATGATCTGCCTCTATATATTTTATTTATTACACAAAAGCACTGAACAAACTCACCTTTGAGAGGATGATATCCAATAGATCAGCTCCAGCTCTTGAATCACACAACTCTTGCTGATGGCTGTTGTAACCAAAAATTTAAAAAATAAATAAATAATAGAAACATAACTTTTAGTCAAAAAACAAAGCTACACGAGTTTTTTTTAAATCATTAAGAAATAAAAGCAATTAGCGACAGAAATGTTACCTAACATGCCATCTGAGAGGTCTGAAAGGTTCATTTACAGTAGCGTTCAAAAGGCCGAGACGCCGAGGCTTAGGGCAAACAACGGCTTCCTTTTTATTATCAGAAATTGAACTCCACATATCTTCACAAGCGGCGAAAGCACCTTGTTGAATTGCACAGTGATTCATCTCTCTCTAGCTTGATAATAATTAGATCTAACTAAAAAAACACCTGCTTTTAAAAAAAAAAGGAATTTCAAGTTAGAGCTCGCAGACAAATTTTATGGATCTAAAATAACAAAGATTTACCGAAATTACTCTGAGTGAAAAAACACCTGCTTCGAAAAAAGAAAAGGACTTTTAAGAGCTTCATATGAAAAATTTATAGATCTGAACTATGAATTAGCTAATTGAAATTAAAATACTGGTAATTATAAAAACTAAACGAGCTATGTGAAGAATTTTTTTACAGATCTGGACAAATGATTAAAGGAATAGTGAGGCGGAGATACGAAGGCGAGGGATTTTTGACCTTTTCGTTGAGACAACAAGGAAGCAGCCAGAAAAATCAGTATTTAGAGCAAAAATCAAAGGTCTTCTAAAACACGTGATTAATTGATAAACATGTTTGTGAATTCAAAAATTTTGTGGATTAATTAGACATCTATTCGACTGAAAAATCAGAAATCTTCTTAGTTCTTCACAGATCTACGCTTACTCTTTGATTTTCAACAAATTAAGGTAAGCGCAACAGACGAAAATTCAGTTTAACGAATCAAGCATAGAAATTACAAAACAATTTCCACAAAAATTATTGCGACACAAAAATTCATGTATTAGCAGCTAAGTTATTTAGATTTACTTCGGAAAAACAGCTCAAACTATTTGATTTTCCACATATTTTACAAAAAATCGTCAAGCTCTATTTACATAAACACATAAGCTCAGGAAAAAAAAAGTTGAAAAGCAATTTCTTCAACAAAATAATTAGTAAAACTCATAAAAATCTTCAAATAAGATATAAAAAATTGAGAGAGAAAAATCAGCTCAGAAATTATAACAAAAACTAATAGCTAAACAACGAAACTGAAATTCTGTAGTATAGAGACATGAATCATTTTCTGATGAAGTATAGAGAAATTAATCATTTCAGAACAGCTCGAAAAATTGAAACTTCAGCACACACACACGCACACACACGCAGAGAGAGACAGAGAGAGAGGAGCTTACCTGAGGGAGCTGTACAGGAAAAGCGAAAAAACTTGGGTTCCTCTGAAAGGAGGATTCAAAGAAGAAGAAATAACAAAGAGAGAAAGATAAAGAAGAAACGGCCAAGTCTTAATAGACAAGAGTAACGAAGAATAATAAGGAGGAACTCTCTGACTTTTTATACAACATCAAATGAGAGAGAAAAATATCATAACTTCATATTATTAAAGTATTTTAAAAAAAAATATGAGAGAGAAAATTCGGCGTATGGGGAGGCAAGATCTGCAACACCTGCAAAATGTATTTTAAAATGAAATTAATGGAGAGAAAAGCAATAAATAGTTGCTTTATTAAAAATATATATATTTAGTTATTTTTAAAAATAATAATCGATAAAATATATATTTTATATTTTTTATATATAAATTATATAAATAAAAAATATAATATATATTTTATATATACTGTTTGGCTTGCAAATGAAATTAGTTTCATTCGAATAATTCAATTTTTTTCATTTTTGTTTCCTACGAAAATAGAATTTTAATTTACTAATATTTTAATGGGGTCATGCAGGCGGTGCTTGAGAAATCTCATCGTATTTCGTACCCACTCCGAACTAATTTAATTTCGTTTATCATTTATTCTTATCGACTTAAATTTAAAAATATATTTCGAGTTATCGACCTTTTAGCTAACCGATTTAGTCCTAACTTCAATTCTAACCGCTAATGGGTACATAAGCTTTGTACTCTCCGTCAGAAGATACCACGTGACATGTCAGGGTACGCCGTCGTTTTATTGCTTGGCAAACCGGCATTGAGAATGCGGCTTTATATTTCGGCCAAATGGAAGCATGACATATATTAATCTAAAGTCTCAATATATATTTAGTTGAAATTTAAAAAAAAATTAAAAAATGGATTTTTTTAAATTCTATTGAAAAATAATTTTTAGAAATTAAAGTTGTGTTTGGAAACGTATTTTATTTTAAAAAAAATTGAGGTTTTGTCGGTGGAAGAAGTGTATTCACCCAAATATTATCCCAAATTATATTTTGGAAACTTGAAAAAAAATTAATTTTTTATCAAAAATTGATCATATTCCATGAAAAAGCAATATTTTCAAAAAAAAAAAAAAAAAAAAAATTGTCAAAATCTATTACCAAATGGGAGTTAAGATAATTCCTGTAGTATTAGCGAGTTTTGAATTTAAATGCCATGATTTTTTAAATGAGAAAATTTATCTTAGATGTATATTTAATTTTATTTATATATACTTATTTTTCATACGTATATATAAAATTCAACGTTAAAGATTTCTCCACTCTCGAGAAACTTTTTCGTTCTTGAAATTTGAAGTCATAACTTCTAATAAAAGATAGAAGAATTGCATCTATCGGATTATTCTATCATATCCATGGGTAGTATGTCATTGTATTCTCTTCAATTAGCTTATATAGCTAATCGAGATGATTAACCCTAAACCTTAACAAGAAATTAGCAATTGGCATGGCTCATATGCTTGACATCGAATAATAAGTAGGTACTTATTTGAGGATTCTTACTTCTTAGTATAATTTTACTTACTATTTATATAATTTCACAAGTAATTATGCAGAAAAGTGAAATTTATCATTAATCATAAACATAATTACCTTTACTTTTGGGCGTTTACATTACATGTAAACATAAGTAACCACCCCTATTACGTCATCATTAACATAAAGAGTAAAGATGCCCAATTTCTTAGCTAACACTGCAAGAAGTATTGAAGACAACCTTCCTTTCTCCTTTTCCACCTATTTTCCTACTGAAAATAAGATTAGAGAGCAATTAATATTATCGAAAAGCAATGAAAAAGCTTTCATTAAATTTCTGGAAATTAGCACAGAATGAATAAAATCAGAGTTATGTGGAGAGTATAATTCTAGCAAAGTGGAAAAGGAACAAAGAAATAATTCTGTTTGCATGTGTTTATTACTAAAAGTTGATCGTAATTAGTGGTGGCAAAATGGTTAAAAGAAAATAGTTAACCACCCATATTATCCACTAAAAATGGGTTGGGATAAGAAACTTTTTAAAACTGGGTCAAATACGTAAAAGAACTAGGGGTGGCAAAATGGTTAAAAAGAAAACAGTTAACCACCCTTATTATCCACTAAAAAATGGATTGGATAATGAACTTTTTAAAAATGGATCAAATACGGATAAGTGTTATAAATAGAATTCTATTTATGGTGAATGTCCATATTTAGAGAGATTCTAGGGTTTATTACTTGGTGGCTAAGTCAACCTCTCCCTATAAATAGAGGGTTCTATTCCATTGTAATTCACCCCAAAATTCAATAAGAATTCCCTCTCTCTCTCTTTCTCTGCAATATTCTTCTTCTTCTTTTATTGTTCATAACACGTTATCAGCACGAGACTCTACCGTCTCAAGAAGCTCTTTGAGAAGATTAAGGTAATTTTTCTCCTCTTTTTAATTATGACCGACATTATGAAAAGAAAGTTCGTTGCCCTTGAAATTTCAGCAAGAACTATATGACATGGGTGTTGGATGCTGAAATCCACTTAGATGCAATGGGTCTTGGAGATGCCATTAAAGACAGAAATAAATCATCCACCCAAGACTGTGCTAAGGCCTTGATTTTCTTGCGCCATCACCTTGATGAAAGGTTGAAAATTGAATATCTCACAGTCAAAGATCCACTTATTTTGTGGAATGGCTTAAAAGAAAGATATGACAACTTAAAGTTGGTCACTCTTCCACAAGCACGATATGATTGGGCTCATCTGAGGCTCCAAAACTTTAAGTCTGTTTCTGAATATAATTCTGCGATGTTCAGAATTACTTCTAAATTGAAACTCTGTGGAGATACTATCAGTGATAATAATATGCTTGAAAAAACGTTTACAACGTATCATGCCTCCAATATGGTTCTGCAACAGCAGTACAGAGAGAAGGGTTTCAAGAAGTACTCTGAGCTGATTTCTCTTCTCCTTGTGGCTGAGCGAAACAATGACTTGCTCATGAGAAATCACGAAAATCGACCCACTGGGTCTGCACCATTGCCTGAAGTGGATGAGGTGTATTCCCATTATGCTAAGCGTGGAAAAGGCCGTGACTCTATTCGTAGTCGTGATCGTGATCATGGTCGTAACCGTGGTCGTGGCCGTAGACAAGGAAGAAATTTTCCTGGTGTTAATCATCCCCCAAAGAGAAATAACCACCAAAAGTGGAAAGGGAAAGATGAGAAGCCAAAAGCAAATGGCTCAGAAACTGAATGCTATCGTTGCGGTGGAAAAGGGCATTGAGCCAATATTTGTCGTGTACCAAGACATTTGGTTGAGCTTTATCAAGCATCTCTAAAGAATAAAGGCCCTGAAGCTAATTTTGTCTCTGACAATGATTTTGACATCACCCACTTGGATGCGGCAGACTTCTTTGAGCACCCTGATGGAAAAATAGACCACTTAATCAGTGATGGATCTGTGGTTAAAGATGATTGAGTAGTTCAACTTTTATTTTTGCCTATTTTTAATAGTTAGTGAATAAACATCATGTAATTGCAATTCTTTACATGAATAGTAGTCATTAGTATAAAACAATATTATTTCTTTTATAAATCTAGCCGCAAAATACACATACATTTCATTCGATTTTATAAATAATTGCTTCCGATAAAATTTCGTTTCTAAAAGGGCGATCATTTACTATCTTTTACTGATTTTGGGATAGAGGAAAAATTGTAACTAGAAAGGAATTGAATGAATTTTTTTTTGAAAGAGTGGCAGTGAAGTGTGACATAACCCAGGAAGTACCCGTTTTTATTTCTTTTTACAATCATTAAATTTGTAATTTTTAGTTACTATCTATTAACAGGATCTTTGAAAATTAAAGTGTGGATAATACAAAAACACATTCAGTAATTAGACCCTTTTAAAATGTATTACTGTTTACGAGCCATCTAGATCGAATGAAGCTTTACTTAACAAGATTTTAGTAGTATATGACTTCATTATTTATTTACGTAATTGTTTGTATCAAAATCAGAATTTGCTTGAAATTGCTTTAAAAGTCATTATTGAATCATTGACTTAACTTTGTTTTTTTTTCCTTTTCTTTGAAAATACTAATGTTTATTCGTATATTTCTTTTGTATGTGAAACCATGGGAAGCAAATATGGATATCTCTCAAAGCAAACTTGAATCAAATTTCAATTATAAAAATATTTGTTTGGTTGATTCATGTACGACACATACAATATTCAAAGAGAAGAAATATTTCTCTCATTTAAGTATGTGTAAGGCAGATGTTACTACAATTTCTGGTAGTAGTAAATTAATTGAAGGCTCTGGAAGAGCTACTATAACTCTGCCTAAGAGAACAATACTTATCATAGAGAATGCAATGTTCTCCTCCAAGTTCAAGAGGAACTTGTTGAGTTTTAAAGATATCCGTCAAAATGGATATCATATTGAGACAATAGATGAGAATAATCTTGAATATCTCATCATTACCAAAAATGTCTCTGGCCAGAAAAGGGCTATTGAGAAGTTCCCATCTTTGTCTTGTGGCCTGTATTGGACAAGAATTAGTGCAATTGAGGCACATTCTATTATAAACCAAAAGGTTACCGATTCCAATACTTTTGTACTTTGGCATGATCGATTGGGACACCCTGAATCAATTATGATGAGACGAATTATAGAAAACTCAAATGGGCATCCATTAAAGAATTTAAAGATTCTTTTAAATGATGAATTTTCTTGCACTTCTTGTTATCAAGGCAAGTTAATTATTAGACCATCACCAACAAAGGTTGGAATTGAGTCCCCTGCGTTTTTGGAACATATACAAGGGGACATTTGTGGACCTATTCACCCACCTAGTGGGTCGTTTAGATATTTCATGGTCTTAATAGATGCATTTTCTAGATGGTCTCATGTGTGCCTATTGTCATCTCGCAACCTCGCGTTTGCAAAATTAATGGCACAAATAATTCGATTACGGGCGCAATTCCCCGATAATCCAATTAAGTCTATTAGACTTGATAATGCTGCTGAGTTTTCATCCCAAGCATTTAATGATTATTGCTTATCAATTGGGATAAAAGTGGAACATCCTGTAGCTCATGTTCACACTCAAAATGGCCTTGCAGAGT